ATAAAAATATATTTAGGCCAAAAACTGCGGATTTTATAAGTCCGCAATGACAATAAATTGTGTTTAAAGTTGTATAAACACTGGAGAAAACTATAGTACAAACAGGAGGAGCTAATAATGGACTTTAAAATCATGGCATAGAAATTCACACAACTACAGGTCTCCCCCCAATTCAAACCACTTTGTAGTACCAGGGTTTCTATGGTCTTTAGCATATGTGAGGTTTCACCACGAAATGAGACGCATCGTTGGTGAAATTATATTGAGATATTCACCAAAACAGCCAAGTCAACATTTTTACAAAATTTTGATTTTAATGTTTTTGAATAACTTGATACTTATATTTTATGATTGTATACTGTCTTTGTAAGTGAATTTTCTTGCCAAAACAGTGTTCTCTGCACATATTCTGTAATTCTAGTCATATTATTTGTACAGGTTAGTTTATCTTTGAGGCTGATTTTCTCAAAACGTGGTTCTTATACACCTAAACTTTAAATGCTCACAACTCTGGATTTACTTAATAGTAGGGAAGCCATTCAAAGACCAAATGAAAGCTTATGATGTGATCTACCCAGATATAATATAAACTCATTTTTTGAATTTCTAACCATGAGACTCATTTTGTGGCGAGACCTCACAGATTTGTTCTCTAATTAGAATAATAAAGAAAAAAGATATTTGTTAGTGTGGGACAACAGATAAATTGTCTTTTTTGGTAGTCTTTAATGTTTTATATGTTTCTTATTGTGTTTGATTGTAAGCTCACTCTGGGATTGATGTGTTTTTTATACCGAAATAAATAAATAATAAAACATGAAATGTTTTTTGCACTCCTTTACATGTTTACGCATATGTAAGTCTGCTTCGGTCTGCTTTCTTTCTGTTCCCTCTTTTCAAACAAAGACATATGGAGATAGAGCTTATTCAATTGCCTCTCTTAGACTATGAAATGGTTTGCCAGGATATGTTCGTGAATCTCAATCTGTGGATATTTTTTAAATAACACTCAAAACTCACAGTTTCAGCTCAATTTAACTGAAAACGGTATAGTATCACACTAACAAAGCATGTGTTTGAACATAAAGGCAATTTTATTATATAGGCTTTGCCTGTAATCAAGGAAGTATAAAAAATACCTGCTGTAATGAACCAACAACAAGAGCAATCATTATCTTAGTACATGTGGTACTTACGATTCTCACAAGTCGCTCCTTGCCAATTATCCGGACAATCACATATGTAAGAGAACATATGACCACTGTTGGTATTAGTGCAGGTTCCTCCATTGTGACAAGGACTGCTATCACATGGCAGAACACCTGTTAAAAATAACAATTGTCAAATATTTATGTAATATCCCTGTTCTAATCCTTTCTCAGACAGGGGTCTCAAGTTGAAGAAGTTTTTCCGGGAGATCTGCTTAAACAAACTTTCTAAGCACATCTAATTTTGTTTTGCTACTTATGGTGACGACATCCGTAAAGGCAAATGAAAAAAAAAAATACAGCAGTAGTAAATACATGCCGATTAAAAAAAAAAAGTGCGGGAGATGGCAGGATTGTGGGAGGCCTTCCTGTTTTCCGGGAGACTCCCATGAGTTGCGGAAGACTCGGTAGCTACGTATCACAATCATAAGTTTCATAGATATTGGTACTAGCTTGAAACTTCACGCCTGCGTCAGCTCAACTATAGGCCACCTTTCGCTGAGCTCTGTCCTTTGAATATTGTTGCAAAGATTCCATAAATAACAAAAATTTGTAGGGAAAAAAAAAAAAAAACTGGCTGTGTGGTCGCAAGCACGGACTCATTGCATGGCATTTTAGACAATATCTATATTACACACGTTTCTGCCGAATCATAAAAATGTGTCAGAAATGGTCTTTAAAAGGGGTATAAATTACTACTTGCAACGATACATTCATAATATTATAATAGATGGCACAAAGTTGATGCACAATTCTTGACTACAGTATCGCCTGATATTGCTGCAAATACATACAGCTGCTATATAAATGTATATACCAGTTACATAGCAAATACATGAGACATAAATAGGCCGTGAGCCGAGGTCACAAATTTACTTTATAAATTAAGTTGCGTTGACCACGCTCATAGAAAATGAACTTTTAATGCAATACAAATTATCAGGTTGTTTTAATGAAAAATAAGCAATGTTGTTCCTCAAGCTATGGTACCGATATAAAAAAAAAATGCAAAAAACTACGATTGCTAAACCCTGTTATCACACGCCAATTCGTTGAAGGTCAAGCTTTCTCGTCGGGTTTAGTGCATTGAGGCCTTAATAACAGTACTACCGCACACCATTTAGGTAAAGACAAAATCTAGCAGCCACGAGGAACAGTATATTTAAATAACATGAATAATCTATTACCAGATCCGGGAAGCGTGACGGTGGTATGAGTCGAAAAACATTGTAAAAACATTAAAACACACCACAAGGACAACAGTGACTAAAATTTGGAAAGTTTTCTAACAATTTAAAATAATAGGACCCAAGTTGGGTCCAGGGCCAAACCCCCCTGGGAAGTAGCGCACTCTGAACCTTTTTAGAATTGTTTTGAGAGGAAAAAGTGGAAATTGCAATAGACACATCATTAATAATACCGTATTAGTAAGTCTAATAATAATTATATAACTCAACTGTGGTGGATCCAGGAGTTCAAAAGAGGTGGCCTTGAATCCGCCATTGCTCAAAACATTCATTATCCAAAGTAGTCATAATCACGAAAAATAAGCATGAAAAACCGGATCCCATCCTAAAATCAAATGTTTGTACCCTTGCCTCAGCATTCACTAAGACATATTCTGAGTCAGGTGCCGACCCGATGGAGTTTATAATGTCATACCCAGTGAAGGGCGTCAATTTGTTTTGAAAGGTGGAGGGGACATTTCATGAGTTGACACTGACCTCAGACCCACCATGGTTGGGGCTGAGGTGAGAAAATTTGAGGAAACGCACCTCTCGATGTAATAAATGACACTTTTAGTAGGCCTAAAATTCATTATCATCACATCACCATTATATAATAGGCCCTAGTCAAAATGAAGTGCCAACAAATTTCTCATGATGTTTTATCAGAGATTTTCGGCAACCATAGATATCTTATTATTATGTGTGATGTAAGATGTGATTGCATCTCAATATGTCAGCGTGCTGTAGGGCCTAGGTTATGGAGTGTAACTATATTAAACAATTGTATTATAGAGTGTAATTGTCAATAAACAGTGGTGAATTAAAGGGGGTGGTGCAGCAGGCCCGCCTCCCCCCACCCCACCCACACCGCTAAAATTTTCAAAAAAAAAAAAATAAAGCAAGTCTATTCAAATTTTGAGTCTAAGGCTGCCATTTCCGGCCATCTAGAGGTGCCATAATCATAAATTTTCGTTCTTCAGCCACAACCATGGTGGGGCTGAAGAACTTGGATTCCTGGCTCTGCCAATGATAAATGTTCGCTGAAGTCTGTGATATCTTACGGACTCTCATAAATTTTGAATTTCATTTTTATTATTCAATGTATGATGAAGCAATTTTTTGTAGAGCATTTAACCATCCTATTACTACACTGTTTACATTCAACTATATAATTATATTTTATTTTATCCTCCGTCTGGATGTTTTTGGCAAAACTATTTGCTAAACAAGAAAACAAAATTTTATTTTAATTCTTTTTCTGCCCACCTTTGATGATCTTCAACAAATTTTTGTGAAACAAGAAATAAAAAAAGTCTCGCCTTACCCATCTAACAGCAGATACATTACCTAACGTCTCACAGTTAGTGCCTGTAAATCCACTCACACACTGGCAAACATAACCACCACTAGTTGCGGGGAGACACTGGCCACCATTTTGACACGGAAATAATGCACAAGATACTAAAAAAAAAAAAAAAAATGAAAAAGATTGGAAAGGATGCATCTAATAAACTAAAAAAAATGAGGGGAAATGTTAGAATTGGATACAAAAATACATGCAAAAAAGCTACCAACAATATAGGCATAACAATGATCTAATAAATACTATTTATAGCATTGCAAGAATATTGTACAATCACTAATACATTTAGAATTAAATTTTGAAAAATCACCAACAAAAATACCAACTACAGTATTTATGGATAAAATTAAATTAGAACAGTTATTGCAAAACAAATCAATACCATATATCTAACAGTATTGTACATTTCTAACAAATGATGCAGCATTTGAGGGAAATTCCATTTGAGAGCTGTGCTTAACAGAAAAATCAAGTCTGGTGACAGGCTTAACTGAGAGGACACTTAATATTTGATAATAGAGTTGCTTAATAAAACATTTTATAGTACAGAACAGCAAAGGTCAAATGACACTAGAAACAATTGTAACGTTACCCATATATCAGATATACTACCTGGGGTCTCGCAGTTAGTGCCACTATAGCCACTAAGGCACTGGCAAAAGTAATCGCCGTTATTAAACTCGGTGAAACATGTGCCACCATTTTGACATGGTTGCGTACTGCAAAGTCCAAGATTACCTTCGAAAAGAAAATAACAAGTAAAATGATAGGAAAGGAAGAGAAGTTAATCAACAAAGAAATGAAAGGAAAAGTTAGTAAAAACAATTGTACAACACAAAATAAGATGCAAGAGTGTTTATATTATTGAAAGAATAATGTACAGCAGTGGAGGGCATAAAAGTTGGTTAGATAGAATTGCTTACGAGATGGACTCAGAATATAGGCCTAATATAAACTCTAAAAATAAGAAATACAAGCATGACAATCAACAATTACGTTCATAACTAACCCCTCCCACAGTGAACATATGGATCAAGAAACTAAACACAGTCACAAAGACAACTTACACCGGGATATTTTTTTTAAGCGAGGGATCGGAAATGTTTGAAACTATTTAAAAAGATATCAGTGTTACTATTTTGAATAACAAAGTGTGTTTAATTGATATTCGATATTATAATTTGCAATATGTCTTTGTTAATCATTCGGTAGACCTAATAATATTTATTATTATTTTATATAACCAGGAGTAAAAGAATTTACCACGGATCTTAATTCGTATCTATCACTGTAAACACCTAGGGGTAATCATAGATAAAAATCTAACTTGGAATAAACAAATTGATAATGTAATAAACAAAGTTCTTCCTGGATTATACTACATTAGGAAAAGTAATTATATCTTGCCCCCAAACATACAGTCAATGCTGTACATGTCAATAATTGCACCACATTTTAATTATTGCAATGTTGTGTGGGGATGATGCAATCAAACTTTACAAAATAAAATTCAAATATTACAAAATAGGGCTGCTAAAATTATTACAAAGGTCGCAAGATATGATTCAAGTTCAGAAGCACTCAATAACTTAAACTGGAATAATTTAAACACCAAACTGTATCAAGATGAAGCTATAACCATGTTTATGAAAGTTACTTGCATAAGATAATACAGTAATAGTTTTATTTTGGTTTCTTTTACTTCTTTATTTCTGTTTGTCTTGTAAATGTTTTTGTAATTTAAATTTTGTTATTATGTACTTCAGAAACGGCCTTGTGAAAAACACATTTAATTTGTGATCAAGTTTTCCGTTTTCAAATAAAGTCATTATTATTATTATTATTATTGTATGATAGAGATCCGGATTGTATCACCAAAATCGAATACAGTTATGTGTTGTTACTTTCATCCAAATGTATCATCTTTTATCTCGCATTTCATTTTATTTTAATATTTTGATTCCAAATTTCATAAAGTATATATATGATTGAAATTTAAAACAATTTTTATACATGACAATTATCTCTGTCTTTAAATTTAAATGAAAAATTCCAACAAGCTGTGGCTCCAGACATGCCAACAAATGGTGCGGCTCCCAGTGGAGCCCAAACAAAGGGTGGGGGAACTAGTTCCCTGTCGCTCCCGCATAGGCAGAAATGGTAGAATGAGGACAGTGGGTGCGCATACGGACCGTTAATTAATTCTTCCTGGTATTTTTCAGTCAATTTCAAAAGATCCTTTAAGTGGTTGTGGCCTTATATGTCTCTGGAAGCTGAACATGCCAACTAAACCACAAAAGTAAGTACCAAAATCTGCGACCTAGACGTATTATTTTCAACAGTGTACTGTTAAACTTGCGTAAATTTACTATTCCTATATAATAATACAATCGAGTAACAAAACTCCCAATAATTAGGCCACTAATACAAACTACCAATCTGACAAAAACATTAATTAATGCAGGATCGATCGGGACAGCATTCGTGTGCGTTGATCATTGTGTTACCAATGCGTCTGGTTAGTTTCAACAGCGTTCGCACGTGGGCACCCATATATGCTTTTATAATTTTTTTTCGTTAGCAACAACAGGCTTTTATACGCTTCAATGCAGGATGGATTATATATATCGGGTAATGCAGAACAGTCTGCACAACTTTGCGTTGATCATTGTTTACGCGCGTGGGCGTTCATATTATTTTAAAATGTTTGTTAGCAGCAACAGACATTTATACCCTTCAACACAGCAGTTCGGCTATGTGAGACAATAAAGCGTTGGATGTTAACTCATTAAATACCTCTAAAATTAATTATGTTACCTTGTTTGGATTTTTTCAGACTTTTTGTATGTTATTATGTGTATATTTTAGGAAAATATTCCTTAAAAATTATATCTGTTGCAATTAGTTCTAAGTTCACTATGCTTTTGTCAGATTGACTTGACTAATTCTCTTAATGTCTTCAATCTGTAAGTGTATTTATGACATTGATGGGGACATCGATTGTTAAATATATAAATTTGTAGTGGACACCTTGTGTAGACTAAGCATGAGTCAAGAGTCAGACTATTTTCAGAATAAATTATCGTTTTTATTTTATAGTTTATAAGACGAAACCTTTCAATCATGGTCCAAAATCACATAAATATAAAGCCAGGTCTGCCCTTGTAGATAATAATAATAATAATAATAATAATGATAATAATAATAATAGTAATATAAAATGAGTAGTGGCTGACTCCTCATAGGTTTTAATAAAATACTTTGCCAATCTAATAGTATACTGCTAAACCAGCTAAAATTGTCTTCAACTTTATTAAACATATCCTCACTGGGGTCGTTCATGAAAAAAAAACTGTGCAGTGACTTGCATTTGTGACTCTGCGAGCACGAGGTAGAACAGTATGCGCACGGAGATGGGAAACAGTGGCCTATTTCTCAACCCTTGCCATACTGTATTCAATTCAATACATTTCAAATTCTATAAGGGTGTTAACACAAAATTATAGTAATGAAATAAAACAAAAAGTCCTTGGTCACATTTTATTTAAAAGTTGTTTTTCAGCAAATCAACTCTTTATTGTGTAGCGGGTTATACATATTTTGTCATATGACAATTAGTTCTACCATAACGCTATACAATGATTGCTTCTATTCTAGTCCTAAATAACATTCCTAAAACCATTCGGTTCAATACCATGTGCACATGCATCCCACCTTTCTCGTACGGACCCAATTCCCCAAGAACTGTAACGCATGCCTACGTTGGCTGTACAACACGATAAAAATCTGCTCCAAAATATATTTGTCACATTTTATTTAAAATTTGGTTTTAGCTATTGACTATATTTGTAGGTCTAATCCTTATTTTATAGAAACACAAAATATAAACATCAAAATTCCCGCGATACTTGGTGTGGGACTTTGTGTGAAGCCGATCATAGAAACCTGTGTTAAATGGATCCACTGTATGAGTCATGCATAATTTGCTGATGACGAAATATTTATTCTGATGAATAATTAAACAATGTTCCTTGTGGCTGCTAGATTTAGTCTTTACCGAATATTAAACACGTCCAGTCACTGCAAAGTCATTACACTTCAGTTAGCCATAGAGGATGGACGTACCTCTTTGGAACATTTTGAAGGGTAATTATCGTTGGTTATTTAAGGTTTTAGGATATATTAGGGATGTCATGTTATAGGCATATATAGGCCTATATATCTGTGTGCATATCATATGTACGTAAATAAATGTATATAATTAGGTATCATTATTCCGTTTAGTCACCATGACCTATGCGTGGGCATGTTATGAAGAGGCTGCCTTGTTTAGTCTCCTATACAGTGACTATATACTGTATAAGTGTTTGGTTTGAGGCCTCACTTGGAAAAGGGAAAGTAAGGTGTTTGTTTCCATATTACTAACAATTTTTTAAGTGTTGGAATGTCGGTCACAATTTTATATCATATTTATATAACATTAATCAGGAGAGTAATGTTTTGCCTCAGAACCGTACTGAATTCAATGAATTCTCCTATACAGTGACTATAATAACCAAGTGTTTGGTTTGAGGCCTCACTTGGAAAGGGAAAATAAAGTGTTTGTTTACCTATTATTTTATTACTGGAAATTGTTTTAAGTGTTGACTGTCGGTAACACTTATATCGTATTTATATAACATTAATAGGGAGAGTAAGGTTTTGCCTCCGAACCGTACTGAATTCAATTAATTACCTAACCTGTTTTTGTCTGTGGCGCCTTTGAGACGTCACACATACAGGTGGTCGCTAGATTGGTATGTACTGTATGTTACTGGCTTTCGGCTATTGTATTGTTAGTACCAGGTGACTAACGTAGTACGGTTATTGTGATTAACATTGGTTTCACTTGGTTACGGACTGAATAATGTTCGGCCTTTAGCTTATAGAGATTGTCTGCAACAAAGGTGTGTTGTATTTCTTATCTTAACAAAAAAAAAAGAAGTTATGAGGCCTCCCTTCCTAATGACCAGTGGTCAACTGCTTTGCCTATGCTTTAGGCCTATAGCACATGTAACAAGATTTATTGATATAAAAATGCAAAATCACATTAGCATTCTACAATAAATACCACTGGTCTTACCTGCATGTGCATATATCACCACATAAAATCACGACGAAATATCTTAACAATCAAATATATTAAAATTGTACTGTCATTTAATAGTGAAACAATGGTATTGGAGAAAAACACGTGGTTGCATAAATGTTAATCTTTATTAAAAGACATATTAGTCTGTGAACACAACTTGCTATAGTGCGCATCTGTTACTAAGGTTTGATCTTTATGACACATTAATACAAATGCATTATTTTTATAATTATACAAAACCACAAATCATTTTCACACTATAATAGAGCAAAGGCTTTCTGTAGTTGTCAGTGAAGATTCATATACCATTTTAGAAGTGTTATTATTTAGTTATTAGAATTAATCCATTAATCTAAAATAGATAAGTTAATTTATGTATTGTCAATTACAAGATTATGTACACAACTAAATTGATTAATGGTTCTGCTTTTCAACCTTGATGTCGATGGTTCAATCCCTCACTGTGCATTTCGCTTGTGTCCTTGAGCAAGGCACTATACCTGTGGCTGTCTCTCTCTCCATGTTAGTTACGGGTTTGAGCATGCATATTTCGATTTGTTTACAAAAGGGGCGGAGGTATCGTGCTGCATGTTGGGTACTAACTATA